AGAGGCAGGCGAAACGAAGGACCCGCGTGGTGTGGTGGTGAACGCGCTACTCCCCGGAAAGGACAATAGCACGTTCGTTCCCCACCGCATGCACCTGCGGTCCGGAGTTTTGCAATTATCTCAGCATCATTGAACTTAATGATTTAGTTTCGCACTGTATCTAGGAAGGTCCTCACTGTATTTACGAAGGTGTTCCTGAGCTCCAAGTACGATTTACAACACATGGCGATTCTCCCAGCAGAATCTTCTACATATAACAAAGTTCGACATTACTTACATAAATACGTAGATGACCCATCTTCACCCACACTTCGGCTCACTGCACTTCCTTCATTTGCTTCACTGTCTTCCAGCAGTTAGTTACATAGGTTTTTCGTATTCATATGAGCTTCAAGTCTAAATATAAATTTTCGATCTTCTTTCCTCATTAATGCTGTGCATACTGATTGTGTTTGGTTTCTCGAGAAAGACAGCTATGCTAGAACATTCTTAGCACCTCAACACTGATATGCACCCACCCTCTTGCATCGGAGGAAGGTTTTCTGCTCTGTGACCCAGATTCTTCCGGAATGACAGCGATTCCACTCATCGCACCGAATTTTACAATTAGTCGACCAACCGCACAAGAACAATGTAACAAGCCAAACCTTGGGTTCGATAGTTCTATGCTAAGGCTTAGTGAAGAGCTAATCAGTGCTAGGAGCTAACTCCGTCCTTGTAGTAGCTTAGCTGCAAGGCTGTAAAGCAGTAAATCTCCGCCTATTTCATATAGCAAATCTATATGTAATATAATGCAATACAATAATACAACAATAGTGGAACAACAATGAAATAGCGATAAAAATTTCTTAAGTATAAAAACTGCAAGTAGTAAGCTGACCAGTAGACAAAGATAGCACAGAGAGCAATAAGGAGCGCTACCAGTGACAAGGCGCGGGCGTGCGTGGCGCATTGGTTGGAAACGCCACTGCGACACACACGTGGAATCGACTCCCGCGTCCATGGTTCACCAAGTCTTCCATCCCTCCGGGGTCGGCAAATTGGTACCAGACTTGTTTTGGAGCATAGCAGCACCGGCTCGATACATCAGTAGGCTATCGCGAGTCATTGTAAAGGCCATATATGCATTCAATCACCTCCAAATGATACTTAATGTATTAGAATGCATGGCGCATCCCTCTGGGATTGATCAACGCCGAGAGCTTTAACCTTTTACCAGTGGCAAGATATCTTACACAATAGTATTAAAGTGATATAATAGAGCAATGATGGTACACGACCTTGGCCACAAAACATGGTCGAGCGAATGCAGGATAGGATACTGTTATCTGTGCACAAACTAATAGCAGATTTGTGGATGGGAACAGCCTAGAGAACCTTAGACTTGGCTGAGAATCATTAGGTAGACACATCGAGTGCGATAATTAAGAAAAAGAGGTACAGATGTAGTTTTCAAATCGCTGGTGTGCTAGCTCAAGATGGTAAGGTTCAGAACATCCTAGGGAATGGGTACGCAGCCATGAAATGCAACTTTCTACATCGACGATTGATTTGCACTAGGAACAATCAGAGTAACGTTGGCGACTATTCGGGAGAATAGTTACTATATCTGCACGCATTCCACAAACGCCAGAGAAAGCATGTGGTGACAAGTCTTAAAAACACCTAGAACGGCTATCTCGAAAATCCAGTGGAGGAAAATCTTATTCACACCGTAAATCTTCCCGAACCGTTCTTTGTGAAAACGGGCTTTTCAGTTCAAGTGCTGAAGTTGATATCCACTTCAGTACTCCATTATTCACCGAATGATTTAAATATGAAAGCAAGCACAGTCGACTAACAGTATACAAGATTAAAACTCTCATGCTTTTATTTGGTTTTGACGAAGTTTTTCTTTATAGACATCTATTTCAAAACTGAATTTGCTTACATCGGATGTTACAGGTGATTTCAGTAAAATTGCAGATTGTTTATTGACAAAACAGTACCATCATAAACTTTCGATTGTCACTTTACCTTCCATAATACTTAATTTCTTGATGAGATTAAATATCAGACAATATTTAGGAACGTGGTCGTGCCGTGTACTGCAACCAAGCTCAGCCTCAGCAGTGTCCATTCGGATACACATGTGAGGAAGCAGATGGAACTCCTGGAACATTTGTGTGCTGTGCTTCAGCACCTCAAGCAACGTGTCCAGCACCGTACCTTCCTAGTGTAAACGCTCAAGGGAATCTGGTACGGCAACTTACACCTTCAAATTATTACTTAAAATTAACTATTATGAATGTGTCGTTTTCTTGTTCAGCAATCGCGAGGTTTTTAAACAGCATACATTTACTTCCATAAAAACACAATACAATACAACGCTAGCTGACGTTTCGGCTGCCGAAACGTCAGCTAGCGTTGTATTGTATTGTGTTTTTATGGAAGTAAATGTATGCTGTTTAAAAACCTCGCGATTGCTGAACAAGAAAACGATACATTCATATTCCAATGCCGAGGTTAAGAGAAAGTCGATCCTGGGAACTATTAACTATTATATTTGCACATCTCCAACAATTTCACGTTCTATGGGTAGTTACCGTCTGTGGAACTGCGGTATGCGGTGTGGTTCATTCCCTCATAGGATTTTGCACACATAGAAAGTTTTTAACATTCCCATCTTAAAGCCCAATAGGAGATGAACCAATGCCAGGAGTCGCATCCATCCAAGCGACGAACTAAGAAGTAAGTTACGCTACCAAACAAAAAGCACATCAGTGGGAAATCAACGACTACAAGTAGAAAGGAATTGTTGATTAGTCTCTCGTAAGCCTACTTTTTGCAACTAGATTTGACTTCAGAACAAAATCTCTTATAAAAAGGTTGCTTCTTTTTCAAATTTCTAAATTCTACTTTAAATTGATCAAAAAATAATCCAAGGAAGATTTTTAGATTTACTGCTCTCCAACGCGTCCTACCGATTGCCCTGATGGTTCTAACTGTATGCAGTCCAAGGAAACTGCATCGATATTTCTCTGTTGTAGAGAAAGTACGAGGTAGGGCGATTGTATTTGACGAGGAAAAATTACCCAAGTCATAAGATAGGCACTGATATCTTCTACTTTCAGAAAACAAAGTGAACTACAAGGTTCAATATTAAGACATTGCCAATCTTAAAGAGTGTCCATTTTGGTGGACACTTTACCGATAGGTTTATTATAGTTGTAAGAAAGAAATTAAATAACATTATAAAGATGTATAAATGGAAAAGTGAGGAAACCCGGTCTAGGAAGGGTAGTAGCAAACGAAGCAACGGCAAGAAGAAAGAAAGGAGGTTCATTGTTTAATCTCTTTCGACGGCAAAAGATAGAAGGAGAGAGAGAACGGAGAGATATAGAAGTTGAATAAGTAAGAATGAAAAAGCAACAGTAGAAAGGAGAAGCTAGAAAAGCTTGCTATTAAGAAAAGAAAAACGCTTACGATGCCACTGAGCTTACAACAAAAGCAACATGTTTTCGAACCTCTTCCGAATTGCGAAAACCTTACGTTAGTGTAATACCGGGTTCGATCCCCACCGCAGACACCTGCGGTCCGGAGACTACTAAACGATCAGCTTTTGCAAGAATACAGTAATTAAGCATTTTTTTAGCTCACGTGTTTGTCCAAATAATCAGAACGCTCTTCTTACACCATCTGGTTCAGTGGAGACATGTAACTCACCTGGATCACCTTGTAGCAAGGTGGGTTGCGTATTATGTTCTTTTCAACTGAACAATCTTTTCTTATGTGTCTATAGATAGACATGTCTATCTATACTGGTTGAATTTCGCAACATATCCTGGCGTGAAAAAATAATAATAAGCAGTAAATAAAAAGCAAACGCTATGATTACAATCTTAACTCTTTTATTTACTGCCTTTTTCTTCTTAATGGCAGGGTATGTTGTGAAATATAACTCGTATGAAGTGCTGAGATATCTGCAAAACTCCGGCCACAGGTGTATGCAGTGGGGAACGAACACGCGCTGTTGTCCTTACTGGGAGCAGCGCACTTCACCACTACACCATCCAGGTCTTCTTTAATTTTCGCTTTGCATGTATCTCAGATAGTTCTATCGATCTTTTTGCCATCAGCAATCACCCGTCAACGGGATTGATCTGGGAGCCAATATCGGCATTGAACCCAGTTAAGCTGAGGCCTCGTTATAATCACAATCTTAACTCTTTTATCTACTGCCTTTTTCTTCTTAATGGCAGGGTATGTTGTGACCCGGATGGTGTAGTGGTGAACTGCGCTGCTCCCCGGTAAGGACAACAGCGCGTGTTCGTTCCCCACTGCATACACCTGTGGTCCGGAGTTTTACAGATATCTCAGCACCTCATACGAGCTATGATTACAGTTTCAGCTTAACTGGGTTTAACGCCGATTTGTGCTCGCTAGATCATTCCCATTGACGGGCGATTGCTGACGGGACCGTTAGGTAGAAAACTTGCTGAGAGAAAAGCGAAACGAAGGAGCAGCATAGTGTGGCGGCCCACACGTTAGCCCGAAAAAAATGTAATACCGGGTTCGATCCCCACCACAGACACCTGCGGCCCGGAGTTCTGCAAATATCTCAGCATTATTGTGGTTTGAACTTTCCACGATATTATTTCAAAAAATTAGTGTCTAGGCTGGTTATACCTGTCAACTATCAATTCCGTTAGCCCAGTATGTGTGTTGTGGATTCGAAGCCGTTGCAGTTCTTTGTGCTGACGGTCGAAAAATTTACCAACAAGTACAAGGTGAACTATTTAAATTGAATTTTAGTATATCTGAAAGTCGTAATCCTTCAACGAAACCCTTTTGCTAACAAACGTTACCAATTTGTTACTTAGCAAGTTAAAGCTAGCTCGCTAGCTCGTGCTTCCCTGAGAACACTTCACCATTGAGCCATAGAAGTTAACCTACATACAACCTATAACCTATGTTCGTTTCCCTAAACAACATCTGTGAACACTTTATGAAATAATAAAGTGCTAGCCCATTGCTGTTATGGTGCTATAAAGAATAACGCTTGTGGCATTGATCAATCACATGAATCCTGCCATACATTCGAATCTATTCGTACCATCACAGAGGTAAACGAATGCATATTTGTCCTACATAGCACCTCACGCCGGCCTTCCACTGTTATCAAATTAGTGTTTTTTGTCCGCCCAGATAAGTTTTATGCCGAATTACTAAGCTCAGAATGATGGAGGGCTTGGATAGTTCGTGAGCAGGGTCGAACCAAAGGCTATGCGTCTCTTGCAGAACACCTCCACCTACTACGCTATACGGCCCTACCGATGCTTTTTTGAAGGAGAGAACGTCCATGTCAATAAATCTTTCCTATGGTTGCATAATTTTAGCACGTGATTATCATCAGTCTTACGGCTCTGGTAGATTCACTCATTGGTAGACTCATCCATTTATTAGTACGCTCATTTATTGATAAAAGAAAACTACTTGAAGTAGTGTAATCATCTTCATTCTTATTAACATTTGATGAGGATCTTAACAGTTTTTAGAAAGCTCTATAATTTTCTGTAACATTAAGGTCAGACGTATACATGTAATCCGTCAATGTCTCAGTCTGTTTGTCCATTCGGGTACGAGTGTGCTCCATCTACAGTAGCAGGCGTCAGTGTGTGCTGCGCTACGAATACCAGTAAGTGTTCATCTTCTTCACTACTTCCTAATGGAGGAGTCATCGTATGTTTTGGAAAAGCCAGCTTCGTTACCTAAGGGCTAAAGCCAACTTTACGGTACTGCTTCGATACTTGAACGGGTCATGTTCACAGGTAGTTCGGACCCCGACTCATCTTTAATTCGTGTCCTCACGCAATCGCCGTCCATGGTTTGTGGCATGGTTAGAGCATGAGGCATGTCCACATTGGGACCCCACGAAGTGTAGCTTTACTCCTTGACACTAATTGGTACAAATAGAATAAGACAACTAAACAACACCAGTGTTGTTAAAGTTTGCGCCATATAAGTGCGGATTTCTCAATAGGCAAATGAATTCGTGTGTCCATTGACACATGTCCCGAAAAAAACCTAGAAGCGAAAACGCCAAGAAACTTGAATGAGACTAGCAAGCGACTGAGACTAGTCTGTGATAACTCAAAACCAACTTGTTTGCTTACAATGTCAATTTTAAAAAAATGTTTAAAGGATTGCTTCATCGATTATACGATTTTATTGTTTTAAAAATAAACATCTTAGTTGCGACTAAAGCGCCTGGTCAACAGTGTCCGGTTGGTTGGAGTGCTTACCTTAACGACATTGACCATCTACCACGAAGCTGTAGAGGACTTCTTGATATGAGGCTTGTACCAACTACATTACCTTTTTTGCTACAAATACATGACATGTCAACTTTTATTTTTTATTTTTTTATACTTTACATGACCCGTCATCACATCTACTGTGCAGATCTTAACACTTTTTGCACTTGATTCGTTTTCCCTCCATTCATTATTGACAAAGATATTGGAACATTTCGCTTTCGTCTTCCTTATGTATGTTATCGGTTACTAGTCGAGTCGATTCTTTTTGCAATCTTGAAGATAACAGGCTAAACCGTTTCCACGTGGATAGGAGCAGAGCGCTGGGAGGAGGTTGAGCTAGCGATTTGCTTCCTAAACTATGGCAGCACTATTTTAATTTATTATTTACTGCCTACTCTTTTTAACGGCAGAGTTTATCAATCCCGTTGACGGGTGATTGCTGATGGCAAGTGATCGATAGAACTAGCTGAGAGACGGGCGAAACGAAAGACCCGCATGGTGTGATGGTGAACACGTTGCTCCCCGGAAAGGACAATAGCGCGTTCGTTCGCCATCGCAGACACCTCGGGGTCCGGAGTTTTGCAAATATCTCAGCATCATTATGGCAGCACTATTCACTTTGCTATCCCACTCCTCCCATTACGTTTTATTACCAAAAAAGTCTTGTTGCTTAAAAATTTTAAGTTTCGCTATTCAAAATAGTCAAATTAATAGTATAATGGAAGATGTGTTATACGTTGATCTGTTCGTTACGGATGGGCTACGTATTCGATTCCATTTACAATATGATTGAATCTGCAACTTTTTTGTAGAGATAGCTTACGACGGTTTAGAGATATATCAGGACAGTGTTGTTTTATTTCCCAAACATGTTTGGTCGTAAATTTCTTAAACATGAGAGAAGGTGGGCTTCATTTTTCTGGAACGTGCTATCGAACAACTGTATTATACCAAACGATCTCTAACTGTTGCTCTACGTACTCTCCTTAAATAATAAAACGTAATAGGTGCCTGAAAATTTTGTGCTTTTTTGAAAGATGAAGAAAAACAACCAGCTTTTGTGTTCTAGTTGCCCACACGGCTATTCGTGCAGTCCGTCATCTACTGCCGGACAATTCATATGCTGTCGTCTTTCCACTTCAATGCGTTGTACACGTGGAAAAACGTTCTTGGCTAATAGCCATCCAAGGCTTTGTAACAGGTAACAGGAGTTAATAGGAAGCTTCTTCTCTAAGCGAATATCATCGTTAAAGGACTTGAGATGTCATAGAAGTAAAAATCAAGTCTTTTGTGTAATAGTTACTTGGATATTTGGATACTTAGATGGCTCGTCCAGACTGGTTGTCCGGGTCCCAACATAATCGCCATTTATCTGAGATATGCTGGTTAAGCCATTGTGGTTCTCTAAAATTCCGAGGTCAGCCTGGTTAAAGTCTGCCCCAGGTCTTCACCACCACTGGTAGTTGTATCCCTTGTGGATCAGAGGGAGATTTGCCACCATACGACCAGTTTCATTCCAGGACGATGGCGGACCCTGGTATTGGTTTACTCTTAGCTAGGCTTCCTGGTGGAAACGCCGGACTCCTGCTCAGCTTGGGAGACCCTGCCGGGGGAACGAATCCCTCCGCTGTGCACCCAGAAACATCCCCCAGCCACGATGAAGCGGTGAACCGTTTGTGCAATAAGTAATTCAAAATTTATGTAAACAACTCAAAAGACCAACTTCCTATAAACCTCAACATAAATAGTTAATGTATTTATTTATACAATCTTACAAACTGATCTTTTTGAGCCGATGCAAAGTTGGTATAGGTCTTCGTTGTCGTTGTTGTCGTTGTTGTTGTCGTTGTCGTTGCTGTTGGTGTTGTTCGTCGATGGCTGACGATTCTCCCTCAGAGCCTATACGTGTTTAATGTAACAGTAGTCTTATATTCGGTGAAATATTTATAGTATTAATGAAGACGAAACCTCCAAATAAACGCCATATTGATCAAAAAGGCTACTCACCGTGCTGTTATGAGTGGAACAGCCGACGTGTTCTTCATGTGAGACGGCGAGCGAGACCCATCCACCATTTTGAAATAGCGCGCCAGGTCACGTATGATAGTGAGACATTCGTTTTCCTGGTTCATGTTTGGGCTTTTGAAACTTATACAAAACGCCTCGAGAGTTTTGCGCGTTGATGTTTTTGATTCCTGCGCTAGGATCCGGACAGTCACTTCGAAATCATCGCCGCTGCGCTTTTGTGCCCTTTGTGTACCTAGAGGAGTGCTTTGACGATTTTCAACTTTCCCATCTAGGTCTTCTTTTATGCTCACATAAAGAGGTCTACCCGTTTCCCCAATATATTTCTCGCCGCATGCATTACATGAGATCAAGTATGTTATACCTAAACTCATGCAATCCCCGTCTCTCTCGTTAGGACAGATCATACAGTTTTCTGAGCTGCACAAACGATCATAGAGACGGTTTCCAACTAACTAGCGGCGAAGGGTATTGGGTGAAAGGTCAATAATCTACATAATTTTCAAGATCACTTTTGCTTAAGCGCCTCTTAATGGCGTAAGTTATTTCATTTGATATGAATGGCAGCTTAGAGGGGATCTTACCTACGCTCGAAACATTATTTTGGGGAATAATCCCAGCTTTTCGTATAACCCGAGTGGTTTCTGCTTCATAACCATTGGAGATGGCTATTTTTCGTGCTAGGTTTTGCGATTCCTTCCTTTCCTCTCCTGTGCACACATTTTGAGCCGTACGGTACATGTTTTTGATGAGTGCTTTCTTCAACTGTGAAGTATGAGAGGAGAGGTGAACTAGTATATTTTTGACTACTTGGCTTGCGCTACCATTTTGCTATATAACCACTTTCTGAAAGCTTTATTTGGATGTTTAAGAATGAAAACCAGTTTTCGGTTGATTTTTCCCGTGTAAATTTTATATACTCACACTTTCTTAACAATTTAAGGCACTCATCCATCTGCTCTTGTGTGGAACAGTTTTCGTTCCACTGATTCCACTACTTTTCCATGACTGTTTGAAAACAGATTTTTTTTCTCCGATTTTTTTTCTTTCTAAGACTCTTCATTTTCTTTTCAGGAACAGAGTCAATCAATGTCCACGAAGTTACTCCTGCGAGCAGAGCACTAGCGTACGTTATCACTAGTCCTTTTGAAGACTAACTGAAATAGGGAATAGACCTTCACACTTTGATGTGCAGTCTTCGGTAGTATGGGGTATAGAGTCTAGGTCAACCTTGTATCTTTTTGTCTGGGCCAGGTTCTCTAACGGTTTCTCGAGATTGCCGTTTCGAGACGTTGCAAAGTTAGTCACATTTAGCTGTGGAAGTGAATTCGTTCGCTATTTGTTATCAAAGGATCTTTTACCATCTCTAGAAGGCAAATCACCGACCAGATTAAGGAATGAACATAAAAAAGAAATATAAAAGGAAAAACAGTTTTACATCATATTTCGTCTTCAGCCAATATGTTCCTTATAATTTCAACACCTGTCGCTTTCTTATACTTCGTAAAAGCTTTAATAGAACATTTTGAAGCCTTTGTTTCTTTTTTTCCGATAACTATGAGACTCCACTGGAGATTACTAAGTGCAACAGGTGTTGATTCCCGCCTACTCGTTGTTCTTTCTAACAAAACTTTACACTAAGATGAAGTTATTTTCAAGTCCAGGATTTTCTTTCCACTTTCGATGTTTCGACTGTTGGCAATGATTCTGTGCATTAGCTTATCTTTCGTTGGCTTTCCGGGTGGAAATATCAACCCGTTCTTAGTTTCGCCTATTGGGTGTGCGAACATTAAGCCCTATTGGGTGTATGAACCTTTTATGGTGCATTGCTGTCCGACAACCGGAAACGTTCCTCTGCTAAGATTAGACAGTAGATCATTGAAAAAATTTTACTCGATTATTAGTTGTTACCCACGTTTTCTTATTTGACCAGGAATTTATTTGTATTAACGTTGCTGGACTACGCTAGAAGTTTTATGGTTCATTATACTTGTTCTCACCAGTACTATAGTACCACTCGCAAAATAATAAATTTTAGCCAACGGTCACCATCTGTTGTTCAGCTGGTGTTCTAGACGATCGCATACTTTGTTCAAACGGGCGTACTCCAGCACTTGTGAATGGTTTCATCCGTAGCTGTCGTAATGAGGGACAATCTGACGGCTGTCCCGTAGGACACAAATGCGAGCGAGCCAGTAATGGATTACTGGTTTGTTGCCCAAGGTTAGAATGCTTGTCAAAAGTCGATGATTAGTCAGTTGTAGTGATTCAGCCATGCCATTGGAGATATTTGTCAGCTAAGGTTGTTTCGCTACTACCGATTCTAAGCTTTCAGTTTCTGAGGAAGAGAGATGTGAAAAAAGCTATAGAGCCTCTAGGATGAGTAAAAAATAGCCAACTAGATCTTTTCTGACTTTTTAAGAGTGTTAGCATTTATGCTTCACAGATCCATACTATTATAGAAAGGATAGTCCTTCATATTTCAGTTCCATCTCCAGAGACAATATTAAGCAAAGTTCGATTGATGTATGCCCTGATAACAGGTTTCTTTTCCTTATAGTGTTCTGCCATTTTGAATAACCCACTACTTTTTTCTATTATTATTATGCTTTTATACTTTAAAGAACTTTTATAGGCGCTATGTTTATTAGATGATTATTTAATACAGCTGTGCACTGTCATTTACAGCAAGTGATCTTTCTTCCACTCTCGGCATGAATATGGTCAAAGAAAGTAGATGTAACCGTCATGAACGGGTGATTGCTGATGGCGCTGGTCGACAGAAATAGCTGAGACCCACATGGTGTAGTGGTGGACGCGTTAGTCCCCAAAAGGGTAATAATAGTGCGTTCATTCCCACCGCAAACACACGCGGTCCGGATTTTTGCGAGTGATTATTTAAAGATTTTTTATTGTGGGTAGAAATTACAGCTTTCATGCAAAGATTGTTGATTTTAGGTAAACAGTGAGAGTTGTATGTAGAAACTACAATCCACTCAGGGTGCGTGAGAATGGTCGTTGAGTGCCCTTCGTCGATTGTTATTAAAGAAAAAGATTTCAAGATGTTCTCATCACTCTTATTGTTACCAGCTGTTACGGTTAAGCTATGTAATATAAGGAAGCGGATAGCACAATGGTAGTGATTTTGGTATCACAAGCACGGTGCAGTTCCGATCCCACCTCACGCTCACCAAGCCTCCCATCCATTCAGAGTCGGGAAATTGGTGCCAGACTTGCTCAGAAAAAAATCACTCCATGAAATCTAATTGGGAACGCTCCAGCACGGTTATCTCAGGACCCCAGAAAGAATTGCTCGACCAACATTCTACGGCATTCAGAATGAGATGAAAATCCTCAAGCAGCAGCCGAAGCCACACAAAATAGTTGGAAGACTTTCGTGGATGATGGGTGCGAGGAAACGAATCGAATTTGAGAAAAGATGGTGCCCACACAGTAGACATGAAGACGGGTCGTATAAAATTTAAAAATATGTGATATAGGATATGTATACATAACCATTTACCGTATGTAGTACACTGTAAATTATAAACTGCATTAACTTTTAATTATTACCCTTTCTTTTTTCACGGCAAGGTACAATGTGAAATTTAACGACAAGAGTGCCAAGGTGTGAGCAAAACTCGGTTCCTGAGATGGGTGGGTTTCGAACCCACGATTACCGCCTGCTGCGGTCACACATGCTATGCGCCACGTCAACCCCGGAACTTGATGTTTATTTCTTCCAGCAAGTTTTTTACTTCATTGGTGTTATCATAATTTACTCAAAACCAAAAATGGCTGAAAGAAAGACAAAGCAACGGCCTCATTCGGTGTGGTGAATAGTAGGTCAGACCCGATTAATGCTAATCACGAGTTCGAAGCCCATCTAAGGTTCCCAAATTTGATCGTATCTCAGCATCCTTGTCGTAAACCTCATATTCTGAAAAGAAATGTTACACAAAAATGTAATAAGACTTGACAAATCTTTCGAAATGTTGAATTCCATTGATCCATCACATGTCCTGTGAATCCAGACGACTTTGAACAACTTTACTTGATGATCTAATCGTCATCTTATCACAGCGAAAAGCTTCCCCTAAGTGCCGAATCCCCGTATTCAAGCAGAGATGTATCTGCGGCTCTTCACTGGCGATACTACTTATGCTGCACTCTTTCTTGAACAACAAACTCTTTCCCTGAGAAATGACCTCGTCCAAGGAGGTTTTTCGTAAATTATTAAGTGTAGGAAACAGCTTTTTACGAGCTATTTCTGAACTTGCACCTACGTTTGGCGCTCTTTCCAGCGGATGCAAAAACTGCCTTAAAAAACTCTGTAAATCGTGGAAAAGGAGTGACATGACATATTGTGACATGTAGTTGAGTATATGTTATGTCGGTTAAACAGTTAAATTGCTAATGACGTAAAATAAAGGACTACTGGTCTATTTCAGACAACCACTGATGTCATCGTTGTCAAGAGATTTCATCTACTGTGATCAAACGGCGTACATCTGCCCCAGTGAGAATGTACGGAACGTTGTATTTTATTACGTAAATATTTTTGGCAGACTTAATTATAATGATAGTAACCCTTACTGACGTGCTATTAATGTAGTTCATCACCAAATCTTCTGTCATCGATCTAGGCATGTCTACCGATGGCCAGGAGAAACCGTTATGTATGTTGTTCGTCGATTCCGCAGTGTACTGCGGGTATTCATGAAGTTGATCTGAGCGGAAAAATCAGAAAGTGAGTGTCGCTTGTTTTTTTTATCTATTTATATGACCTAATATCACGCCTAGAACGAACCCCAATATCTCCTTTAATTCGATTCGCTGTCTTGCATTTGCCGTTCACAAAAATCTTCAAATTTGCGTGTGTGTTCGGCTCAAGGATTTCGTCTTCTTCATGAATGTCGTTGAATGCCAGTCGAGTTGATTCTACCTGAGTTTCTGGGATGACTTTACAAGAGCATTCTCGGATGTCTACATCTGGCAATCATCGAATCGTATGCATCGAGCGCAGCTTTTCTGGACAAGTCTGGCAGAAATTTTTCGGAGGGATGGGACGCTTGGACGGCTGGTCGCGGAGTAGAACCATAGTATGTGGTGTCAAACATCTATCTGATCATTAGGATAAAGTTGCAATTGGATATCGTTTTGATGATCAAATGAAAAATGAGGCAATAAGATGAAATGAAGAAATGAGTGACTCCCGGTTCGTATTGTTTTCAACCCGCCCAAGAATGGGAAACCATGGTGACTTTTTGTTTTATATTAATATTTCGCCTAAATTGTTTATATACTTGAAGCCTTTAAAAAACTAAAACTACTTTAGGTGTACTACTTCCTTAGACTGCGGTTTGGCTTTTGTGTGTAGACCTTCTGATGTTGATGAAATCAATGTTTGCTGTTCGGCTGAAGTTATACCAGGAAACGAGGTTCAATTTTTGACGATTTTGTTTTGTTGGCTAAAATATCATAAAAGACATGAAATCTAAAAATATATTGGTATGTATACATACATAAACTTATATGTACTTAAATATTCTTACATGTGTATAAAGGGCGCGTGTAGGGCAGTGGTTGGAGGAGCCCTGCAACACACACTTGAAATTGATCCTCGTGTCCATGGCCCACTAAGTCTTCCATCCCTCCGGGGTCGGCAAATTGGTAGCACACTTGTCTGGGAGGATAGCAGCACTGGCTCGATACACTGGTAGGCCACACTGAGTAGTAAAGCCAGATATGCATTCAACTACCTCTAAGCAATGCTTATTGAAGTCGAATGCATGGCGCATCCCTGAAGGTTTGATCAACGCCAAGGGTTTTATCCGTTATTTTATGCGTGCTTGCTTATGAAAAAAATATATAAATATAAACTTTTGTGTATATTTTTCTATGACAAAACAATAGCATGATATACGACATTGTAGCTATCATTTATCAAGTGACAGTATTTTAACACTAGCAGTAAAATCATGATTACCACGTTGCTTATTTGCAATCTACGAATTAATTCGGCCAAAAATTTGCAATCACATAATTGGGAGGTACTTGGGAGGCGGCTAGGTGTCGCAAATAACAAATAAGCTACTAGTCTACTCTGGAGATCTGGCAAGCTGCCAATGAACATGCTCCTATTTTAAGAGCTCAGCAAGCTATACTTGAGCATCAAGCAGTGTCACCTGTCATCTTTCACCTGTAGTACCCGTTGATCGTCGAGTCGAGCGGGCGCCAGTAAATCTTCCATTTTTTCCTGTCGCGTGCATGAGTAGCTTAGTGAGTTCTGTTCGCTCTAGGGACTCGTCGAGCACAATACCTTTCTTCAAGGCTCTTCGTGAAGAACTCTGACCATTGGGTCGGTGGTTTTTCTTGCAGTATGTTTGACATCCCGAGGAATCCAGTCACTAATGGCTCTTGTCCATCGGTTGTCATTCATACGCATTACGTGTCCTGCCCATCTTATCTTCGACTGTTTGGCGTACAGAATGGAATCCTTGATTTTTGATCGTAGACGCAGGTCGGATCTTCGGATTCCTTCCCTTACTTGTATGAAACAGAATACTCCTAGCATCGTCCTTTCGACTGCGCGTTCGATAACACTGAGTGATCTTTCATTCCGCTTGCGCAGCGAACAGGTTTCTGACGCATGCGTTAGCGCGGGAAGCATCGTTGAGTAGAGAAGGTGGGCACGGTGTTGGATGTACTTTGTTCTCTTCACTAGATCCTTAATGATCTTGAGAGTTCCCCTAGCTGCTCATTTGCTCCTTCTTAACTCTGGAGCTAGGTTGCTCATCACGTTGATTTCCCGACCTAGATGGACGTAACTGGAGCATTTGGAGATATGCGTTCCGTTGAGCGTGAATGGGGCATACGAAACCAATCCGTTCTTCATGAACATCGTTTTCGTAAGGTTTTGTCGAAGGCTAATCCTTCCACAGGCTTTATCAAAGTCGGTAAGCATACGTTCTGCTTGGCTAATGTTTGGTGTTATGAGGACGATGTCATCAGCAAAGCGAGGATGGTATAATTGCCGACCATCGATTTTCACTCCGTTCCATTCCAATGTTCGCATGATGTTCTCGAGGGTGGCGGTAAATAATTTTGGCGAGATGGTGTCGCCTTCCCTAGCCCCTCTTTTCACATCAGTGGTAATATCGTTGTAGAATGGTGATATCTTGGTTGTGAAGTTTTTGCACAACTCAAGAATCTTTATGTACTGAGAAGGGACTTTTGATTATCAAGGGCTTCCATGACTGCTTCTATCTCAATTTAATCAAAGGCCTTCTCTACATCGATGAAAGCGAGACAGAGCGGTCTTTTGTACTTTCGCGATACTTCAATGAACCTTGTTATCGTGTGGATGTGGTCCATCGTACTAAATTCTCTTCGAAACCCTGCTTGCTCACATGGCTGTCCTTTGTCCAATCTTAACTCGCTTTCAACGTTTGACATGGAACTCTTCCAGTGGAAAGCACCAGAACGAAATAGTCGATAGCATAGTAAATCAAAGATTATGCCTTACCGCTATCGATGCTGTATCAAAATTCTACACATATCAGACCATAGCCTCCTTCGTGCGACGTTTCTCACTGAGTAGGGAAACAGTCACCAAATTTAAGAAACGAAATCCGAAAACCAATATAAAGTGCTGCTTATTCACTTCATTGCTTTGAGAACGCAATGGAGAAAATCATTCACCATTACTACTCGGATCTGCTCAATAGCCACAACTTCCTGCCTTAATATGAAATAATGGGGAATGGATATGTCGTACCACAGATTCTCCCTTCCAAAATCAGACGTGATATTTCGTCGTTAAAAAATGGAACCACACCATATCCAGTCAGGATAAGGTCTGAACACCCGAAAAAGCTTCCGTTAGTCCTTATAAGCACAAGAGCTCGGCTCTTCACACGTTACCTGTCTGAATGCGAGGTTCCTATCCATTGGAAAATCAGCAAGATCGCGCTGTTTTTCAAAAAACGTGATCTCTACGATATCTGCTTACTGTCCGTCGTTTGTTTACAAAGTTTTCACTCCAGTGATCCTAAACAGGATTAAAATAGTGCTAAACAAAGGACAGCCATGTGAGCAAACAGAGTTTCAAAAAGGATTCACTAATGTGGAATACATCCACACGATAACCAGACCTATTGAAGTGTCTTGAAAATACAAGATAGCCCACTGTTTCACTTTTATCGGTTTAGAGAATGCTTTTGACTCAGGTGAGATAAAAGCAAGCATGGATTCCCTGGAGAGCCAGGACGTCCCTACTCGGTATACAAAGATTCTTCGTGAGCTCTACAAAAATTTTACAACAAAGATATCACAATTCCACAACGATATTAACACCGACGTCAAAAGAGAGCTAGCCAAAGCAATAGCATCTCGTCAAAATTATTTGCTACCACCGTCGTGAATGTCACGCGAACATTGGCCCTGAACAACATGGGAGTGAAAATCGATGATCAGCAATTACAGTCTTCGCTTAACTGTTGATATTATTATAGTGATGTTGTTTTTAAAACTCCAAGCATCACCCAAACGAAACGAATGCTTTCCGACTTTGATAAAGCCTGTGGAAAGATTTGTCTCCGACCAAACCTCAGCAAAACTAAGTTGATGAAAAACGAATTGGTTTCATATACCCTATTTACGATTAACGTTACGAATATCTCAGAATGCTGTTGCTACGTCCATCTTGGTCGCGAAATCAACATAATTTACGAATTCGTTCTAGAGTTAAGGAAGAGGAAGCAGCTCGGAGAGCTTTCAAGAGCGTCAAGAATGTTTTAACGTATGGGTCAACAGGCAGGTCGTTGCTAGCAGGATGAAAGATCGCTCAGCGTTATAGAACGCGGAGTCGAAAAGAGGAGGCCAGGAGGATCCCGTGTCACACAATTGAGAAAAGAGATCCGAAGCTACTTCAACCACATAGATCGCAGACACCGTTCTTGAACTAGTTGTCGAAGATAAGGTGCGCCGGACACGTCATGCGTGTAAACAACAACCGTTGGACAAGGGCCGTTAGTGACCAGATTTCTCGGGATCTCAGACCCATAGCGTGAAGACCCTTGATCCAAAATGATCAGAGGTCTTTACGAAAATCTGGGAAGAAAGATATGACGCTCAAAGGTTCTCTAGAGCAAGCAGAACCCACTGGTCCACGACTGGGAAAAAGTGGAAGATTTACCGGTGCCCGCTCGAGTCACTTGACGGCCAAGGGACGAAGGGTGATGCAAGTGGCTTTCTTATGTAATTCTTGTCTAGTATTGTTACTTATTTATGTCTTCGTATATATCGTGCACACCGTGTATTGTTCCATCGGTCTTTTATCTCACCTCCGATGGTGAATTACTTGGATTATAATGGAGTTCATGAGCACCGCACCGTAATCTGTAAGGGCTTTGGAGTTGCGAATCCAGCTCATTGATATTATGTATTCTATAATTAATAAGCTAGCACGAGTTAGATAAAGAAACTTTATTCGGCTAACGTTTCGCCGCCTGCGACTTCTTCAGAGCCAGATTGGCACGAGTCGATTGTTCACAGTTGCTCTTTCTCTCGATGTGAGTCTTTGTTATCGACTCGAGTCGAGCCCAGTGGAACACGCCCAAACGGAATGTGATTGATTTCAATTATGAACACCTGCGCCCATCGTTTAGTTGGTCGTACCAGAAGAGACTGCATCCTCTTGAAGTCCATCCCACTATTTTTTTTTCCCTCTATCCGCCGTCTTTTATTCTTATGACCAAGATTCCTATTACCTCCGTGTTTCGTTGTCGACATGTTTTCTTGGATTTCGAGGATGGGATAGGTTTCAGAGATCTGAGCTACCCATACCAGTTAGACCTTATCAGTACCACTTAGCCTTCAGAAAACACGTTTAAGTGCTATATGAGTAACGCAGCTCACTTCTTCTCAGCGTAGCAGCGCGGGGAATGCCGATGGCCCTAAAGGATGAGCATATAGTTCAGGATCCGTTAATTGGTCGGTAGCTCCTCTGATAGGGTCGAACATGGACCAAGCTTTTATCTTTTATGACGATATTAGCTAGGTGGATACGAGCGAGATTGAAATGAGAACAAACGATACACTTGAAGGAATCTAGATGGACACTGGAGTTGGAGCACTGAGGAACTGAGGAACTGGAAGATAAGCGCTTGAAGATTGGAAGATGAGCACTGGGGGTTGAAACCCAGGCACTGGCAGATTGGAGGACAGACACTAGTTTCTATAACTACTGGTGCTCCTTATATTCTCTCTGTAATGGGTGAGGTTTTGCAGGAGTCAGAGATAGCGCTGATTCAGGACATGACACGGTACCTGCGGAAAAATACATCAAATAAGACGGTATGCCAGAGGCTTCGTCAACATAGAACTTAATCAGAAAGCGAAGGAATAGTTCGTAAAGAAAGCTTGTCTAAAAGGCTACGCAAAGGCTTATCAGAGGCTCATCTGAAAGAGATGGAATAGCATGTATAAAGGCTTTTACCGAAAGTACGTGTCGAAACGGTATAAAAACTTATACATTATGAATGGATAAATTTAAGATAGTTTTAAGTAGATAGTTAGCATAAAAAGCATGTGAAATAATAGAGAGTAGAAACTATTTAAGGAATAGTTACTATAGACTGCTTGTGGTGGCGACGACCTGGGGTACACTTTGGCCTGGCTAACCTCGCGACTCCAGGGAACCACAATGGCTAGGTCCGAAAAAATGTAAATTATGCTGGGGTCCACACAACCAGTGAATATGGGTCATCCAAGTACTCAGTTATATTATATTATCATATTGTTTTATTTTAAAGAAACAGTATGTTTTTTGTTGCCATCTTCTACAAGCGACTGTATAAAAGATATTGTTCTTCAGAAGGTTTCAATTAAAGAATTCAAGCACACATAGATATGAACTTTTCTCAACAATATTGGGAATAATAGAAGCATTCCTGCAAACTAAGCAACTAGTAAGAATCTGCTGTTTTATTCTTCAAATAAACCACGAAACGAATATGAGAATTAGTAAATTTCCTAAGACAGTCTGATGTATTTTTATATATTCGTTTCTACAACGTTCTTGTTCGCGCTGCTCTTTATACATCGCGAAGAACTTAAAAAGCATCAGCTTGTAGTGTAGCTGTGGATTTTCTCTTTTATGTTTTTCTTTCACAAACTCTGATCTATCTATGTTTTCTAAAGATTTTGTTAATTTAATGTGTAAATTTTTCCCTCCAATGTCTCAGTTCGTGTCCCCGACTATAAAGGCAAACGTGGCCAGTATTGATGATGAGGAATGGGTGGTGATTGAAGGATGATAAATCCGTTGTTCTTATTTCTTTTTTACTTATCATTTTGCTACAGTACTTAAGCAAATCGGACTTTCATGTTGTGTGAAATGTTAAGTATACAAGCATAATAAGTGTAATAGTGAACTATAGGCAGCTTATGCTGTAGCGGAGACTGAACGATACACAGAACTTTGTTATGTGACATTTTTCCTTCGATTTCTTTAGTTCTCACCCCGAGTGTTTCTTCGATCTTGATCGCTTTTTTTCTACCATTTCTTATTGTGTTTTCTTATTCATTTTTATTTTATTTCTTACTCTTATTTTATTTTAGAGCTCCACATTGCTTTTCCTGAGATTTCTACAGTATTTGTATTAATCGAAGCATATAAATGAATAGTTTCCATGTTTCTTAAACCAACAGCAGACAATTGAACTTATACAAATCACTAACAGATTTCAGAAATTCGCGTTAACCGTCTGAAGTGACTCGATAACACAGTGATAAACAGCTCCTCAAAGTCGGTCCTTGGTCAATTAGCGTTTCACTTCTTATCTTCTTCTCGTTTCTAAGTTTCCCTGCCATAACGCTGTAATGCGTAGTTCCATTCCTAAGCAATGTAACCTATGCGGAAAAAGTGTTCGTTGTGCCCGCTCTTATCTCTTCAATCCCCCATCCTTTTGGTTGAGAAATTGGTGTCGGAGTTATCCGCCAAAAGATCATGCCCTTAATAAAATCACAATCTGCAATCCAAGTGGGAACGCTCTTGCCCGGCTCTCTCAGGACTACAGGGAGAATTTACTCGACCAGCATTGAACGGCATTGACGATGAAAGGAAAATCATCAAGCAGAGCAGCCGAAGCCACATGTAAAAACTTGGAGGACGCTCGTTGGATGACGGATGCGAGGAAACGGATCGAATTTGGGAATTAACAGAATCCGCACTGTAGATGCAAAAGTAGGGCAGTATAAAATAAAAATTGTCTACTCAGAAAGCAGGCTAGAAACAAACAAACGTCTGTAATCACTACCACTATCAGAGTTCAACGGAATGACACACAAAGATAAGAAGGAGTGAATAAAAACAGTCGTCTACATCTCTCGTACTGTCCCTAATTTTTTAGCCATTGTTTCAGGCAAAGGAATTTGCTGAATGACTGGCATAACCATATCTACTCCCTTCTCCTTTAAATTAAATGTCGCGCCAAAATAAATATTACGACATGAAACTCTTTAACTTGCGCCTTTCCCTCTACCTACTTTTCCTACGACTTCTATATCATGATTTCATGAATCCTAAATAAAAAAAACTGATGTTGAGCGCGGTACCTAGTCTTCCAGTCCTTCCATACAGAACCTTCTTCCAATCAATTTTGAACGAATAGCTAATCCAAATATTGTATTTGAAAAGATTTGTCGAATATTGTTGGTGAAACAAGAGAAAGATCATAAATGATCGGCTTTTTATGTTAACATTCAATGCAACCCGTCTTACTTGCCAACAAATATCCCATTAGCTATGTTCGACCTCAAATGTTCGGTCTTGACCAATACGCCAACGAAAACTGCAAAACCCTACCGAGATCTATATTTGAGCTGAAATAATAGAGTTCATTAGGTCTGGTGAACTGCGAGGGGTTCCTGTGGTGCAATGGTCGAGGGCGCCCTGCAATACACGTGGGATCAATTCCCGCACCCAGAGCTCACCAAGCCTTCCATCCCTCTAGAGTCGGCAGATTTGTTCCAGACTTGTCGGGAAGGATAGCAGCACTAGCCCGATAGATCGGTAGGCCACCACGGGTCAGTGTAAAGGCCAGATATGAATTCAGCCACCTCCAACGATGCTTAATGAACTCGAAAGACCGACTTTCTATAAACCTCGTCATAGATAGTTGATGCTTAATGAAACCGAATGCGTGACGCATCTCCTAAAGATTGATCAACGGCGAAAGCTTTATCTTTTTTATCCTGGCAAATCGTAATTCGCCTTGCCGTTTCACCCTTGCACTGTCTATCAACTAGTCTTAGGATTCGCCCCTGTCATAAAAGGAGTCGATGGCCTCTTACAAAAATCAGAATCGCAATGTCGCAAATCATCCCTTGATCTACAAGAGCTCATAATGCTCTGTCATAAAAAAAAGTGATAACCCTTTAACACTTCTAATTCCGGACTACATGGAATACCAGAGATAGAACACATATAGTAGTGGGCTGGATTTTGCGCCCCGGGTCTGCTAAGCCTTCCACCTCCCGAGGTCGGGAAATTGTTACTAAACTTGTCTGCAAGGGTAGCAGCACTGAGTCGGTAATCGGTAGGCCACATAGAGTCTTTGTGTAAGTCAAATCTAAGCCAAATGTGGTTTCATTCACCTCTGACGATGTTTGATGAAGCCTAGTGTAGGCGCATCCTTTAAGGATTCGTAAACGACAAGCACCATATCCAGTATCCACTTATGGTAAATCCCAGTTGACCAACGCGCAATATTTCACTGAGTAAAAAGACGATATGCTGGAACGAATAACAGAAGAACTCCGTAGATGAAGGTTGCAGAACAGTAGTCGCATGATAAAAGTATTGCTGCAAACCTAACAAATGACCGCGGGCCACGTAGCTATCTAAGCATGCTCAATGGTACTTTGGAAAAGCAACTGTGAAAAAACTTTAGCAGAATATTTTACTATTTATGATCGATCATCGCTTGTCATCAATCTCTCATTCCGGATTTAGCTAGAGCAGCTCCTCAACGTGCACAAGTTCATTTTGGCAATGACTAGTCTTCTCATGATCTGCTACGTTGAACCTTTGCTGTTTCGCCAACGCTACTCCAAACTTGATAATGAAAACTTTAAAAATAAATAAAGGATAAGGGTAACGTTGATCAATCCCTGAGGAATGAGCCATGAACTAGACTTCGATAAGAATCGCCGGAGGTGATTGAATGCAAATCTGGCGTTTATAATGATTCGCGGGTCTACTGATGTATCGACCCAGTGCTGTAACCCTCCCAGACAAGTATGGTACCAATTTGCCGAACCCGAAAGGATGGAAGGCTTCGTGAGCAGGGGACGCGGGGATCGACCTCATGCGTATTGCAGAACGCTTCCGACTGTTCGTCTATATAAATAGTTACAAACAAACATCAAGTGAATGACGAAATCAATACGTGCGGATAACAGTAGGGAGCTAAGACTAGTACTGACAATAAAAAATTGCAATACGCTTGAAGGGTTAATTATATAAAAAACGGACAGTTTGTGGCCGGCCGGATACCTTGTATGGCGGGAGCGGATGGTTTTAGAAGGTTACGACCGATTGATTAACGCATTCGATCTACGAGAGTCCAGGATACATGTGAACTACCAGAGACGCAGATTGGCAGAGGATGTGCTATCAATCAATAAGAATCATTCTCCTGAAAAGATCCAAGTGCTACTGTTAAGCTGATTTCCTGTTACCTTAAATGACAGTGGTATGTGGAATGATGTTCCTCTATTCATGGCCTATCCTCACATCAACTGTGGGGATCATAACACTTTTTGCTTTCGATTCATTTCCTCGCGTCCATCATCAAGGATGATCTTCGAACTATTTGTTGTTTCGACTGCTACATGAAGAGTCCTGAAATAGCGAGGCCAGCGCTTTCGCACTTGAATTTCAAGTAGTGAACTGTCCCAAGACAAGTTTGGTACCATTTTCCCGACCAGGTTAGGATGAGATTCTTCGTGAGCCTAGGACGACAACGAACCAGTAGCTTGAAAAATGACTCGACTCATCGGCTCTGAGAAAGACTAATACATCGAAACGTTAGTCCAATAAATAATGGATAACAACCTCATGTTGGCATATGAAACAAGGTACATTGTGAAGAGTGCGTTCAGCGCTAAAGAATGAAGAATTCATCTGAAACTCTTCCTAGTTCAAATTACAGTCCTCTAAAACGAATGTGCTTACACGGACATATCTAGTTCAAACGTCTCTACATTCTGTAGTACGTCGTACAACCGTCGTCCATATAGGCACTCGATTTTCGTGTGGATTTGCCTGAACTTGAGGAACTGCGAACTCGTCTCTTCATTGACAAACTGAACTTGGAGCCTGGTTTCGCTTAGAATTTTGGAAACGTTGACATGTCTTCAACACAGACAGTCACCGGCCTTCATAAATCGGTGGAATACTTGCCTCTCTACGATCTGGTTTCTACCAAAACGATTGCAAATCTTCTCAATAATCGACGTACTGCTCGAAGAAGGTGGATCGGCACAATTCCGTGATAGGTTACTTTAAGTTGTAAGGTGAATATACTAGGATAGGTTATGTGGCGCTCCATCGAATTATGAATGGGGCGAAAGTGTGCAATGTGAATGAGACACCGCATAGGTCTCAGGTGGATTCAGCAGAGGACCGGCTCTTTGTTTCTCGACTGTGAATAATTGACTTGAACCTTCCTTATAAATGTAGTGTGTTCACATTCGCACCTATGTATCTACTTGAGTATGTAAGTTTCCATCCTGCAGATCTGTTAAGGTAAGACTTCAATCAAATAACCTTGAAGGGAAGAAGTCAATTCGATATCGCCTTCAAAAAATAATCCCCATCCAACCACAGAAGCTCAGAATGCACCTGGGAAATATCCAGGAACGCTCTACCAAAACTAAGGATGAATTCAAGCAAAGAACAGTTCGCGCAGCACCTAACGATATTCATGACCAAGACAAGTTCTTCAAGTCGCAGCCAGACCAACAAAATATGTGGGCGACGGACATGAGACAAAGAATCGAATAGAAGCAGTGCTGGCATAGAACATGCCATGAGGGACATGTAAAATAAGGTATACCAAAGGACTTTCTATAGGTAGCTTCCTCTTCTCCTGCCTCCAAAGCGAGCGCGGCCTACTGCACATCTCTAGTGAGCGACAGTGACCAAGGGCCCTTACCTAGTATTCTGTTGAGATCACTGGACGATTAACAGGATTACATATGCTATGGACTAGATTATCAAATTTGCAACGATTATGTACAAAAAACAACTTCCCATTGGTAAATGACTTCTCAAACACTTTAAAAACACTTTATTAACCCGTTAGAAAAACAGCTGCAATTTTTTCACAGAAAAAAAAATGCCCTGAGATTAAAGCACAATAAAATCGCTTGGATATCGATTCGTTACCAGTTGAAAACTCTATTCACTAATGCAAAAAATCGTCGATTATGCGGGCGAAGATTTTGTCGTAACTTCTCAATAACGTTGTCGACGATTTCACGGTGCGGACGACCTTTACTGTCACCGAGACACTTCACCCGGCTCGCAGGTGATCGTCGAAAACAAAAAAATCCCTTCTGTTCATTGAAAATCAGCTGATCGTCGCTGATCTCATGTGTCAAACCAAGAAACGTCTCCACACGACGGAGCTGAATATATGAAAAATTTTGCAACTTCAACTAATCTTATTTAACTTCAACGATGCTAAGATATTTGAAAAGCTCCGGACCGCAGGTGTCTGCGGTGGATAACGAATGCGCTATTGTCCCTCCCGGGAAGAAGCGAAGGACCCGTATGGTGTGGTGGCGAACGCGTTACTCCTCGGAAAGTACAATATCGCGTTCGTTCCCTACCGCAGACACCTGCAGTCCGTAGTTTTGCAAATATCTCAGCGTCATTGGAGTTATAGTTCGCAATATACCCTGCCATTAAAAAGAGTAGGCAGAAAAATAAAAACGGTTAAGATTGTAATCTTATTTAATTCCCCTTAGTAATTTCATTAACCAAATTGCTGATTTATTACAACCAATCTAAGACAGCCCACTCAAACGCATTTTTCTAGAGCAATGATCATCAGTTCCTCGACGCCTCGCCATGACGCGTTGGACTTGAGTTTCAACTGAAGTTCCAGGGTTATCAAAATCGATAAAGAATTAAATATTTTTAACCGTTACCCATCTTTAAGAATACATCAACACCACGAATTATCGCTGTCACTGAGTGTATCTGAACACGTTAGGGCTCTCCCTCTAGGGTTTTTTTCGTATGGATGCGGTCCATCGTACTAAGTCCTTATCAAAACCCTACTTGCTACCATGGCTATCCTTCGACCAGTGTTCTCTAAATTCTGTTTAGGGATGACTCGAGTGAAAAGTTTGCAGGTGACAAACAGCAGCCAGATTGGGTGATGGTCGGCGATATCGTGGAGGTCACCGCTCTTGAACTAAGGCAAGGTCGTGCTGGCAGGGACTACGGAGGGACCTTGAATTCAAAGGAATAACTAGTGAAGAGAAGGGTGAATATGTTGATGAGGACTGGCAGAAGGTTCTTTAGATATTGAGATCTAATGCTATTCGTTTTTTCATCGACGAAACAGCATGTCGGATATCGGAAGAGGGAGCCGATGGTACGACATTTTCATTTTCCTCTATTTCACATGAGGGCAGGAGCACGTGGCTATTGAAAAGATCGGAGTATTAATCACGGTTTACTTTTCTGGACGCTGTAACTGTTTCCACTGGGTGTCGTATTGCAATCATCTTGGTTTTGCAATTAGAGAAGCTTCGGTGGGCCCTGTAAATGCTCTGTCCCGCCTCTGCATCTTCGACCATAACTGCTGCTCTTCCCCTCTAAGTTCTTTTCTCGCTTGTCTTTATTGTTTTGTAATTTCGCACGTGAGTCAGCAATTGCCTTTAGCTCGTCCGACTCTACACAGGCTTGAGGGCTTCTGGAGACAGACGCAATCCCTCGCCGATGTTATCGAATCCGTGATCTTTCTGACAGCCTACTAATGAACAGAATAGATCCCTATTTCTGGTGGTTCTGGGATCTCGCTTCATTTTTTTTGAATTTAGCGGGTTTTTGTCTTTGCTGCGCGAAGTGAAATGTTACACAAGGGAGGCGATGGTTTGATCCTGTGCAGAATTTTGGAGCAAAGGCGATATTGATTTGGCAAAACACATTCCATTTACTATGATTTGATCTATTTCGATATGGTACCTGCAGTGAGAGGTTCCACGTCTAGCGTTGAGAGTGGGACTTCTAGAATTACGAGTTACTATGGATGGTCTTGGTCGTCACATAAACTCAGACAGCCTCTTACCTTTCTCGTTCCATTCTAATCCGTTTGTCGCAATGTAACGTTTTTCAGACGTTCTTCTTCGTCCAATCTTGGCGTTTAAATCTCCAATGATGACCTTGAAGAATGTATGGTTTTCTCTGTATAACTTCTCTAAGTCCATATAAAACGCCTCGACTTCTTCTTCGTCATAGCTTGATGTCGGCGCTTAAACAACGAAGACTGTCAACGCCGAAATTGATCCACGTCTTTTTAATCGTAAACGTCTGATTCGGGTTGTAAGCTGTTCGAATTAATCGTTGTTCATGGACAAACTCGTGTTGACGAGAACGCCGACGCCGCCGACTCCTCTACTATCGCATCTTCTAAGGAACAGTTCTTCTCCGGTGTCATAGACGGCGTTGAATGGGTGGCGTCATCTCCTCTCGGTCAGGCTTATGACGTCGTACCTTATCCTTCTTGCTTTCTTGAGCAAGTCTTCTGTCGAGGACTTCAGTCGCTTTACCAAACGAAATATGAGTGGCTTGTTCAAGAAGGTTCGTTTACGACTTCACATTTGTATTTATACGGTTAAAATAATACTACGCGAAAGTTTTTGTCTAATAATGGACCTATTCATGTTGTACATTTTCAGGCTTTGTTGCAAAATCAAAAACATCCAAAAACGGTTACAATTTACAGTTTTCTCCAGACACATTTTTAAAGAGAGTTTTTCTCGTTCGCCATCCTTTCTACTGACAAATGTTATTGATTGATATACAGTTGATGAACAAAAGCAATAGGTAGCTCACATACCTCACTGATCGGATTTCCACGAAACACGTCGCCGTTGACGAGCAAAATCTGCTCCATTAAGAAATACCGTAACCAGTTCACCATATGAAGGTCGTAAAGGGAATTTCGTATCGGTTTATAGTTGATGTTAATGACGTCAGTTTCAGCGAGAAATGCTTCTGTTTCAAACACCGGTAACGTTTTGTTCTGCTCCAGTTTATTGTAGTAAACCTTCAAGTTGGAAACTTTTTCCTTTTCCTTATCTTTCCTGAAATACCCGTATCTATTGCCCGTAAATTACCTGAGTAAAGTCACTTATTGTTCTCTGAGTGGGATCCCTGACAATAAGAATGATCTTCATCGATGGATTTAATTCGTAGACTCGTTGCGGTGCTATGGGCGAAGTGAAATAGCCAGGTGTTTTTTCAATAACCACCTTAAATTAAGCATGAAAAAGTCGGCTTGAGCATTAAAGGAATGACGGCGACCTTTCAACATTCCAGTTTAAAGTGTATTCGCTTGAAAATGCAATAAAGTGTTTTTCTATTGTTTAGCAGCAAGTTTTAAGCCAAGGAAACGGTTTTCGATCAATATGCATGTTTTTCACTATGGAATGTTTACAACCAAGACACACTTTTTCCACTGTGATACATTGCACGTTAAATACTTTAAATTTTTTTCCTGTCTACTCCTTGTTGTGCTTATTAGAATTTTGTTTCATCTCATTGGAATATCAGTACTATCGGCTCTAATATTGTACTCTAATATGGTTTGGGAAGAATCAATAGTCTCACCTCGTCGGATGTACTAGGTGGCATTAACGAACGGTACCACTCGACACCTTTCGAATAGTTCAGATTGAAATAATGAGCTTCTTTACGAGCGGCTTTTATTTTCGGATGAAGAGCCAACGCATCCAATAGCGCTCTAGTGCCCCCTTTTCGTACGCCGATAATTAGAGCAGTTGGTAAACGACGTGAAACGGACCTTTAAGAAAAAAAAGCTGTTCTCTTCTCGCATTAACCAGGTCATGGAAATTACAAATAACCATAAAAAATCGCTAAATACTAAATTGCAGTCCTCAAAGCTATTTACAGGGTTACCAAAATAATCAGAAAAGCCACCATGCGTCCCATATAGCGTACTAACTACGAAGCAAGTTAAAATCATACAGGAGACACTTTGATTTTTTCAGAGCATTCTGCAATTCACTGGTATTTAACTAGGCTTTTTCAGATTTCTGGTTTGTTTGTTTACTAGGACTCCGAACCGCCCTATGGTAATGGACTAGTAAGCCGGGAACAAGTTACATACTTTCAATCAGGCCCACTAACCTATACATGAGTGCGCATACAAAATCTACGTGGGAATCTTGCAGTTGGCACGTTGAGTGAGCTCATAAATCCACGTACTTCTCAATCCAAGCACTAACATCGATCGGGAATATTGTGTTTCTGCTTCAGATTCAACCCCGTAACGTTGTCACTCACTTAGGAAGGCATAAAGTGGACCCGCTTCTAACAGTACTTGAGATGACATGACAGAGATCCATGAAAGCAACTAAACATGTTTAAAGTAATTCAGCGCGAAAAGTCGCTTACTGATTGTTGATAACAGTCGTGTAACTATGAATGGATGAACGAAGATTATCGGTAACGGTCGAACCATAGGAGAACGCCATCATAGCCATTTGCATGACCGCCAGTATGAGCAATACCAAACATAGTGTGACGAGACATTCATTACTCCAGCACTTCATCACAACGCTCGCATCTGGACGGCTACAACTATGCGCTGTGATGAATCAACATCATGGATACATTCTAGTCAAACAATGACAGTTCGGTCAAACGGTAAATGTTAAGGTTATGGAAAAATGAGAAATCATGGAACTGTTTGTCCACAGAACGTGCAAAAGTGTTTGTCTAATGTTAAAACATCGAAAATCACGCGTAGAATGCCGTATTGGTGTCGTCATCACCTGTGAGAAGTAACCGGAGAGGAATGGGTTGAAGAAAAAGAGAAAAAGAAGTAGAAGAGAGGTGAAAGCAAACGCGTAATTTCTATTTCTAGATGAGCCATATTTAATTATTGTAGAGGCCTAAAGCCAAATCAGTGTTCATCTCGTTATCTTAAAACTGTCATCCATAAATTTTGTTGCTTTGGTGACTTGACAAGCGAAATCGCGAGATCACTTCTTGAAGTAGACACCAGTTCTTTTCGTTTTCTTTTAATTTTTTCTTGTTTTTTCAGTTGTCAAACATATCCGCCGAAGCACAATCATCGTCGACAGTTTAAATAGAAACTTTCCATTTTTTTTGTGATTCGGAGTATAAAGGATAAAGGATAAACCTCTCGGCGTTGATCAGTCCCTGAGGGATGTGCCACGCATTCGACTTCAATAATGATCACTGGAGGTGATTGAATGCATATCTGGCCTTTATAATGACTCACGGTGGCCTACCGATGTATCGAGCTAATGCTGCTATCTTTTCAGACAACTCTGCTATCAATTTACACCCCGGAGGCTTGAAAGGTAGTAAGACATAAGCGCTGAGATCGCTTTCATATATGTGTTGCAGGGCGTCTCCGAACAATGCACCAGACGCGCCCTCCGGAGTGGTCTTCGGTATTTAAAAACGGAGAAGAAGTGGAGTCAAATAGTTAAGAGCTAAGATCTGGGATAGATCTTTTAAAAATCCTTCAAGACTTCTTATTTCTTCTCCATTCCATTCTCCATCTTACATTCCTTTCATAACGTTTTTCCGCCTCATCGTAGCTGGGTGGTGTTTCTGGGTGTCGGGCCGCGAAGTACAGCGGGGGCATTGGTGCCCCCGACAGGGTCTCCCAAACTGAGAAGGAGTACGGCGTTTCCAATAGGAAATCCAACTAAGAGTGAACCAATACCAGGATCCACCACCGTGCTGGTATCAAACTAGTCGCATGGTGACAAATCTCCCTCTGATCAACTAGGACGGTGACTGCCTGTAGTGGCGACAACCTGAGGCGAACTTTAGCGAAGATGACCTGGGGACTCCAAAGAAACACAATGGCTAAACCAGCGAAATTTCGAAAAGTCAAGACGGCCCACCCAAGTATCCAAGTATGGAAGTATTTTGCGGTCCTCTTTCAATTCCTTGTTGCTCCATATCTATTAAAACACCTAATTTATTTGTCACAACATCATTTTTATGATTTTTGAGTACTGTTTTCATTTCAGTGATATTCTTCCTCAATGCGACAAACTCACCACGATAATTCGAAAATTGCGGAAGATAATGGTGCACTTACACAGATGCTTTCCTCGCTCTGTTAATGCTCATTGGGTACCTGAGACGTCCAAATTCTTTAAGGTACTGCAGCAGTACCCTCAATCCAACAATAGGTTACTTTTCAAGTGAGAAGCAAAAAAAGTCTGAAGAACGAATAAAAGAAAAGGCAGAAAATCGCAGCGTCCAACTTAACAATTTCCATGGTTTAATGAAATGCATTGATATCCTCCCGATTGAATTCAACTCCCAATGGATTTCGTCACCCCGCCGAAGCAAGATGTTAGTCATCGCTGTTCGACTTCTTTAATTTAGGAAAACGAAGTTTCCCATCACTACTACTGTCAATAAAAACAAGTGAACGGAGAAAAACACTAAGGAATCGACGTTGAGTTATCCTATGCAACGACTTCACGGTGTCACCAACCAATATATCATATATGTTAATGTGTCGTTTTCTTGTTCAGCATTCGCGAGGTTTTTAAACAGCATACATTTACTTCCATAAAAACACAATACAATACAACGCTAGCTGACGTTTCGGCAGTATCGCCTTCTTCAGAGCCGCTTTTTCGTGACTTCCAATGAGGAAGCTTAGAACAGCTGATTATAGTCGCATGTGGTTGACGACTCAAACATATGTTTTAATCGTATATGTTAATGTTTTAATCGCCCCAGAGAAGTGTGGTAGGATCTCGTCGATCATATAGAGATGTGGACCAGAAATTGCACGGCACGAGATCGAACCAATGACCAAGTGTGCACTGCACGGGACCTCTATCCACTTTCATTTGAGCTAGTCAGTTCCGCAGCAATGATATTAAATCATTATACTGTTAATAACAATAACAATAATAATAATGATGCGGTTAACGTGATAACAACATATTACTCCATGAATTTTTAACATCGGTTGCACCTCTGATAGTCCTTAACTCAAAGAACTACCTACCAGGACTTCAATGATCTGCAATCAGAACAAATCGCACCACTTCGGCTTCGAAGCTCTTGGTTATTCATTAACTCACCTTGGTTATTGTTCTTCAACACAATAAACACTCCATTTTTTCTCGCTACTATTTCTAATATTGCTTATCCCTATTTTTCACCAGATCGTGTTTCAGTGACAAAATCACTAGTTTTAAACTAATTGTTAGGCTATTTAAATTCAATTATCTAGATACAACTAAGCAGTTAAGTAGATGAGCACAGCGAAGAGTAATTATTAATCACACGAATAACCAAATAAGAAGGAAGGAATATATAAATGAATTTCTAACTAGGTAATAAAACAAATATATGAACAAAATAGAACGCATGTATCGCCGCAGTGGCTAGATGTGCCCCGTAATAAACAATGGATCGCTGGTCCGGTCTTTCGCCCATGACTCATCAAAACACTCATTGCTCTGGGTTCGGAAAATTGGTACCAAACTTGTATATGAGATATAAAAAAGCAAACTGGCAGGCCAAAAAGTTAGCATCGCATAGTATTGTATGTATTTTATTGTCTCATAGGCCAAATATGCATTCACTCATGTCAACGATCTTCGAAGTCGAATGCCTAGTGTGCAGTGGTTCATCCTTTACCTTTTGGGAGCAGGAAGATAAGATAATGCGATACATGAATGACATGGCCTCAGAAAGATTTATTCAGGCTCTATCATATTCTCCACTAATGATATGTTTCTGGTTTGCTTGTTCTTTTTTTCCTACCGAAGCAACTGCAAACTCGTCCCATTTCATTCTTAAGTCACCGTCATCACCATTACACTCAAAATACGCCGAAGTTTGGGCTTTCGAGAAAGATTGTCGCCTTAACATTTGATTTTCGAAATAACGGTAAATCCTAACATTGTTTCGCTCTAATCTGATATCCTCAGTGGAAATATCAAACTCTTTCTCCGAATGGATGAAGCACGTGGGAGATGTACCCAACGGTGACGAAACCAACAATACTTCACCCTCCGGCGGTGAAAAAAGGTTGTGAAAAGTTTTCAATCTAATGTAAACGGCAAAAAATAATCGGTGAAGTGAACAAATGAATAAATAAACAGATCGGAAAACTTTCGACTTTGATGCATTTTTTAGAGCCACTTTTTGTCATGGATTCGACTCTACTCGTATAGAAGAGATTGAGTACAGATTTCATCTAAGCAGTGACTTACAACGGCCTACTGATGTATCGAGCCTGCGTTTTTTCTCAGACAACTACTAGATTTGTTGACTCCGGAAAGATGGGCAGCTTGGTCTTGGGATAAGGAATCAAACCGATGCCTAGGTATGTATTGTAGTCCGCCTTTAGCCGCTGCACTACACGCAACTAATAGAAGCAGATATAACGACTTATAACAGGAGAGAAACCAGAAAAGTTAATACAAAGACCAATATTACTTCGTTGAATCTGCGACTACTTTAGTGATTTAATATACGAATGGATGCGATCATCCTACATATAAGCGTTTCCATCGCTGCCATATTGACATTCGGCGGTGACCCGCCGGCACTGTCGTCATACACTTAATCGAATCCGAATCCGTATAATGATACTAATATACGACTAATTTCAAGGGTTTCGGGACCGTCGAAAGTGTTTGTGGTCCGAAAGGATACCGAAGAGCAGTGCGAGAGAGTGTGTAACGAGAAGAAAACGGTTATGTTATACGAGAAAACAGCACGTGGGCATGAGAGACGAGCGGTAACGACGGTGTTGTCCGTCGGTAGACCTCATTACGGTGACTGCTGTTATCTGAGAATAAACACGCAAAAAGGAATTAAAAGTGATTTTCCATTTAAGAAGAATGTTTAGTAATTTTATTAATATACAAGGAGTTTAGTAGCTTTTAAACCAGAAATTTCGAAAGTGCTGACTACTTGGTGCTTAAGCAGCTTGAAAAACCTTGGAGATTCACAGAATACCTTCCAATAGCCAACTGCCGTACTACTGATTCGGAAACACTTTTCTTTGTGGAGTGACGGAAGTAGCAAAACGTTCCCAGGTGGTCTCTCTTACGAAACTGTGAGAGGTTCGACACTTTCGACTAGGTTTACCGTCCAGCACAATAACGTCTTCTTTCAATATTTTATTCCATTTTTTATCTTAAAAACCAAACAATTTTTATAATACCAACTGCTATAAGGTAGATTATTCATTGAAAAACAAACTTTTATTAACAGATAGTGTTATAAACAACAACCGCTCTGTATAAAAGGATACTGCCGGGTGAGCATGGCTCACTCGTTCGATGTTCACTAAAGAAGATACCGTCGCGGTACGACAACGAAGACGCCACATCGGGATAACTAGCAACTGTGGACCACCGACACCGAGCATCGGCTCTGATGAAGACGAATAGGTTGAAACGTTAGCCGGATAAACCTCTCTAACAACCTCGTGTAAACTCAACGAATTGAAAACATGTTAAAAAAGCAAAGCAACCTTTGCTCTGAATCATGGCTGACGTTAGAATAGCGAATGAAAAAACGACTG